ATTAATGATTACATATATGATTACATATATAATGACAGGATATATGATTACATATATGTAGCCTGTCAGATCAAAACATGCCGTAGGACTCAATTCGGACATTATGAGTTAGCAGTTTTATCAGAAAGACCATTCAATTCTGGTTATTTTGACACCAAGATCTTCTTTCTAGGTCACATGGTTCGGAAGTTATGAGCATTTGAGTAGTTGGAATCGGGCCGATTTTGGAAAACAAAGTTCAGAGTAATTAGGTCATAAAGTTTAAAGTTTGTTTTCATTTGGCCTTCATTTGGACAAAAATCTGAAAAAATATCTTCCCATTGAGCTAGACACATGAATTTTTGCATTCACGTACCAGACATAATAATCATCCACTGTATGAAGTACGAAAATGGTAGCTTACAGTTAAGGCAAGTAATTCAGGTAATTAATTAGGGTAATTAAAACATTAATTATCTGGACTTTTTGGACACGCAAATAAACACATAAAGACACACTTTTGGCCAGTTTTATTGATGTAACATCGAACATGGATAACTACTATTACTAAAGGTATTTATGACCACACAAAAAAATCGTTTTTTACTACTTTTAGGTGAAAAATCACCTATAACTCAGAAAGAACATTGAAGTCCTACGGCATGTTTTGATCTGACAGGCTACATATATGTACCTCGGGTACATATCTGTAGACTAGTACCTGATACGACAACGACCCCTTGAGCATTGGCATTACTGCCAGTGCCACGGCACTGCGATAGACCGCAAGTCCGAACGGAGCACTGCTAATTATATTATTAGCAAGGTATCTTTAAAGTGATCATCATAATTACTGTTCCGGTCATAATTCCTGATTATTATTACCTGTTCGACGATGGGGACGAACAATTATTTTCTAATCCTAAACTTGTGCAACAAAAATTCTAAGTTTTCAGTCCATGCGCATGGAACTACGTACGCGCCACCTACCGGGTGAAAACTGTAAACTAAAAAATGTATGGTTTAACCCGATTTCATAAATCTCCTGAACGAGATGAAAAGATGGAATGCCTAACTCTGCATATGTACTTGAATATTACACTGTTTCGCTTACCGAAAACTTGGTTTTTAATATACATAAATGTACACGAATGCAGGGTTCGCGCTCTGCTGTTGCGAATAATCGGCTCAATTTTAACCGGTGATATCATATCGCAGCGAATACGAGATAAACAAATGGCAAAATGTGTGAGGTTGCGTGTAAATAGGCAATTCGGTGTAGCTAGTAAAAAAACTAATTACGCAGTTTTAATCGTCAGCAGGTAATAATACTGCATAATGTGTATAAGTTATAACCTGACTAAACCTGAGTTACACTATTCTCGAGCAGTACAGCTTGTGCACCAGTCGGTGCAGTGTCAGTAGACAGTACCTCATTATCACTACACTACAGTGACTACTCACTACTCTCAGTACTGACACTAGTAATACTAATAGTATCAGTATCAGTGCCAGTGCCAGTAGCCTGTAGGCAGTACTGGCAGTAGGCCTACTACTAACTTATAATTAGTATTAATATTTAATAATAATTTATTACTAATTATGACTTAGTCTTAGTAATACTAATAGTATTCATTACTTTCGTAGTAGTAGGGACACCGGTTAACTTGACTCGTTAAGAAATCAGATTTATAGCAGTGCATCCATAACTGCTAACACTATTTCAGTATTTGTTCCCTCAACTAGCTAAACTGTAATGTTGCACACTTGCCTACAGGTATTCGCCATGGGTACCAAAGTTCTAGGAATGCGATTGGTAACGGCATCTGTGATATTGGTCTCTGTGTGCTCTGTGTGGGCACAGGTACATCGAGTACCTCAGCCTCACAATGAAGTAAAGCTTGCAACCAGCGAAGAAAGGAAACTGGAGCCACCTAAAGACAACGCGCAAGCAACGCCAGTAAAGAATGACGACAGCACGGCGTCGCCACATCACCAAAAGAAAGGTGAATTCAATCAGGAAGATGGATCACTTGCTACCCAGGACTCTGGGAAAACGGAAATGCATAATCAGCAGTCGGTGAAAATAGATTCAGCCGAAACCATACAGTTGGCAACAAAATCTGACCCAAATTCCCACAATGTGGCGCAAGGTGATAGAAAATCAGACGATAATAGCGAGATCAATGGTGCATCTGCTAAAAATGAAGAAGAACTATTGAAAGCCGTGTTAGATGACCTAGCTGGGAATGTTGAAAAGTACAAGCAAGAAAGAAGAGAGGAGAAGATGAATATTCAGAGTAGTGATCAGGAATCTGCTGTAGAAGAAACAGGTGAACAAGTACCAGCACCCATAGTAGACCAGTTTATGACTGAGGAACAAAAAACGGGTACGTTTTGTAGGAGACTAATCATGAAGCAAAAGTAAATTAATTAGTTTATTTGATGAGGTATTGCAGTACAAATTGCATTACAGTAACGATAATATGTTGGCAGTTGTGTTAATGCCATAATATGAATAACGATCTCAATAAACTTTACACAAGATTATATCTAACTCTATATATTTGATGGAAATTTCAGCACTTACGTTCTATGAGCAAGGAATGATGCTTTTAAATAAAACTAAAGCAACGAAAGCTGACAAAAAAGCGTAAGTTTAAATATACCTATTGCATGCAGGCAGCTGCATGTGTCAATATAATATATACCATTAAGTACTATGCTTCTATAAGAATCATTACAACTATATCTGTAGCAGAGCTATTAAATAATCATCCATTTTATTTCTCTAATAATCAATTGCTAATAATCAGTTGCTTCTTAAAATCGTTTTTCTTTTTACAGAGCTTACCGATTACTGGAACAAGCATCTAAGCTTGATCACAGTGCTGCACAGGTTCTTACAGCCTATGCATACTTGTATGGTGACTATCTCCACCTCAACATCGATGAAGCAAAGGCTATATTTAGCGACTTGTCACAGAAACAAGGTTGCTTTCAGTCACAAGGAGTAAGTGTTAGTAATAACAGCCCTCCGGTGTAAGCTGAAGATAAATTTACTGTTTTAACAATAAGCAATATATCAGAAAATTCTAGCACAGTGAGAGTTTAAATGAATTTTTATACGTCATGTAATTGCATATGCACCACATGAGTTGATTTTCAGTAATCCACATCCATATCTCTATTTTTCCCAGGCTCTCGGTCTGATGCATGCCACTGGACTTGGGTTGAAATCTAATCAAGCAAAGGCACTTGTCTATCTCACATTTGCAGCTCTTGGTGGAGATGCTATGGCACAGATGGCATTGGTATGTAGAGTAAATACATATATCAACCCCAAAAATAAGTACACAGTAATGCTCTAATACCATCGCCACTTATATTCGTCAAAAACTCAGAACACTTTGCATAATGGGTGTTTAAGACTAGTGGCTCACTGGTTTTTTTACCCGCAGGGATATCGATACTGGTCAGGAGTTGGTGTGGAACAGAGTTGTGAGGCAGCTCTTACTTACTACAAAAAGGTTGCCAACAAAGGTAAACTGGTGTTTACGTGTAGTTAGATGGTTTATATAGTTAGTGAAATGCTAGAAATTTTATATTTGAAATTCCAGTTATTTTATATCTATGAAATGAAATGGTTTTAATTTAAAATCACTGAAAGATTCTTAATGCCTTTTGGCTGTTGAGAGATTTGGCTTTTTGCAGACTTGCGAGAAAGTAAAAGTGCCTTCCCTGGAATGCATTGTCTGTTATTGTGACGTGATATTTGCGAACCTTGCATGTCAACATACCTGGACAAGTGTATATCTTTCTCAGTCCAGTGAGTGATAATAACTGAAGACATTCTTGTCATATATTTGGTTGACCTGTGTCATGATATATGTTACTCGTCATATCACAGTTGCTGCGGATGTGTCCATTTCTGGAGGAGTCGTGGTGCAGAGAGTCCGACTGCAGGATGAAGTGGAAAACACGGGGCAAAGCAGTGGCATGCTTGATGATGACTTAATTCAGGTGGGTTCATGATGCTTTAATTTTTTCACTGTGATTATTTTACCAGTAATCTATATCGATAAATTATTTGTTTACATGTTTGGTTTGGCACATAAATGCTTATCATCTGTACGAAAGTCACAAGTTTTCTGGAATTAATTGTAGCATCTGTAATTTTAAACACTTCGTTAGGTATCACTTTTAGAAATAACTAATAATGTGCCATGGCAACTGCATTTTACTTACACGTGGCTTATAATTTGAGTTCGTGTGCTTTCAGTACTACCAGTTTTTAGCAGAGAAGGGAGATATTCAAGCTCAGGTTGGACTAGGTCAACTCCACTACCAGGGTGGTCGTGGGGTTGAACAAGACCACGAGGTATATTAGACACTAATAGTTTTCTATAAATAATAATTGCTAATCAACAACGTTAATATGTCCGTATCACATATACATAAATTGTTAGTATTTGGGCTTTAATAAATATCAGTGAGCATATTTGTATGATTGGATTTTCTCTATTGCATTTGTATTTATTTTACATGCAGTAAGGACGCAGTTAGTCATTATTTATGAAAATTAATTTCTTATTCTAAAACCAATTTATATTGCTTTTGTAGTAAAATTACAGTTACTTGTGCTGTTAATTTGGTTTCATATTCATATCTGCAGAGGGCACTAAACTACTTCCATCAAGCAGCTGATGCTGGCAATGCTAATGCCATGGCCTTTCTTGGCAAAATGTATTCAGAAGGTGGCACGTATGTTAAGCAGAACAATGAAACTGCCTATGTCTACTTCAAGAAGGCTGCAGATCTAGTAAGTTTCTACTTTTACCAGTGCTTGAATTTTTCATTCATAGATTGATCACAAGATGTGTTGTAAAGCCAGCAAACTTAGAATCAAGTTTAAACAGCATCCGGTCATTATAATACAACTATTGCAAGCACGTAACTATTGCTAGCAGTGTACATGTAATGTAAACTAGAGCTTGACTACCTCTAGGGGAATCCGGTCGGACAGAGTGGCCTCGGTATCATGTACATGTATGGTCGCGGCGTGGAACAGGACTACCACAAGGCATTCAAATACTTCTCGCTTGCCGCTGACCAGGGCTGGGTAGATGGTCAGCTGCAGCTAGGCACCATGTATTTTAGTAAGTGTTCTCAGGCTAACAAACATCTTTTTGTCGGCTATCGCCTAATTTTGGCTCGTTAGCATTTATAGGTGAGAGTGTTTTTGCAGGGTGATCCAACTGTATTTTTCTAGATTAATGATTGTAGAAGGCAATCCAAGTGAATTCTTCTAAATTTATGACAAATGTGATAGAAAATTGTATTACTCTAAGAAATTCACAAATGTGGTTACATTTTCAGGTGGCTTGGGAGTGAAGCAGGATTTTAAGATGGCAGTCAAGTACTTCAATTTAGCCAGCCAATCCGGACATATTCTGGCTTTCTATAACTTGGCTCAAATGCATTCTACAGGAACTGGAGTTGCTAGGGCTTGTCACACATCTGTGGAGGTATTACACACTACTAACGCACGTGCTAAATGATTTCAAGTTGTTCTGCTTGTTCAGTATGTACAATGTTTATTTATTCTTTCGAAATAATGTGATTTAACTATAGCATAATCAACAAACAACTGAAACCAACCAAGGTAATGCAGTCATGTATAAAAGCTATCAAGCTACTAGTAAATAAGAGTCGGTGCATGTAAAAAATTTCCTGATGGGGCCATTTGCAATGTCATGTGTATGAACTGCCCACTGAAACACAAGTATGTATGAACTGCCCACTGAATACGCATGAAACTGCGTCTGAAACATGAGCACACATCTACCGCCCACGGAAACACCAACGTAAAAAGTTGCACTTTGACTGCACTGCACGTGTTCACTCGCAGCTGTACAAGAACGTGGCGGAGAGGGGAGAGTGGTCGAGCATGCTCATGGAAGCCCATCAGCAATACAAGGAAGGTCAGACCGACCTCGCACTCATCAAGTACCTGCTGCTGGCTGAGCTTGGCTATGAGGTGGCGCAGAGCAACGCAGCATACATCCTCGACCAAGGTGCTCACTGGCTTGTGGCGCGCACACCGTACCGGTTTTGTTCGTCATTACATTGTTTTGCTCGCGTGTGAAACAGGTAATCAGCTGGTAGTCCTAGCCTGGTTTTTCTTTTGGTCTCGATTAACAAAGTGTTGACCGCTCTGGTTGCATAGAAAATGGGTGAATTAGAGTAAACAGGCAAATATAGACATCACTTATATTACTCGTTACACAAGTATATAACGCACAGCATGTATACGTACGTGTTCACAGTCGTGAATTGCATCATGCAATTAACTTGTGTAGAAAAGCTGAACGAATCTTTGATGGTTGATTGATTAGATTAGACGCTGCAGTTACTATCAATGTTGTCGTTATAATTTCAGGGGAATCCTCCCTGTTTCCTACATCAGAGACCTACCCACGTGCTCTTCTGGAATGGAGCAGATCTGCTTCACAGGGTACATCTGTTAAAAACCCATTTGATATGCATTCAATGCAAGAAATTGTATTTTATGAGCGCATGTGTTATTGTTGTGCACACTATTTTCTATCTCGTGATATTTAGAGTACATGCTATTCATATCTTATGCCTTCTATTCATTGTTTCAACATTATGGAATAACATAGATAAATGAGATAAACAAATAATTAAGCAAATGCATCAGATTTCTTTATTTTTTTAATTAATATCTGTTGATATGTGTAAATGTTTTGATCTGTAAATAATGAATTGAATTGTCTGATAACAAGCACGCCACCCTAACATATTAATTAAATAACAGCCTAGTGTTATTTTATGCGGCAGGGTACACCGTCGCCCGAGTGAAACTCGGTGATTACTACTACTATGGATACGGAACGGAAATCGACTATGAAGCAGCCGCGGCCCACTACCAGGTGGCGTCGGAAACGCAGCACAATGCGCAGGCGATGTTCAACCTGGGCTACATGCACGAGATGGGCCTCGGTTTGAAGCAGGACGTTCACTTGGCGAAGCGCTTCTACGACCTGGCTGCGGAGACGAGCACGGAGGCGCAGGTGCCTGTAACTCTCGCGCTCGCCAAGCTGTCACTGCTGCATGGAGCTGACTTCGGCTGGGAGTACTGGAAAACGGTAAGATCGAGTTAATCTCATGTGATATAAAGATGAAACTAACATAATAATAATAATAAGAAGAAGAAGAAGAATAGTAATACTAATAGTAATTATATATATATAAACTGTAATAGTTTTAATTTTTACCTGTTGATGACATTTACTTTAATTGATGAACTCATTGCATTTCCTTAATCTCACTCGATAGATTTTTATTTGGGAAATGTATGCTGAGATGTGAGAGGTGTTTAATTTTGTGGCATTTTTATACACAATGAAATGCTTACAAGTGACAAAACTTATTTTCCTTTTTTCAGCAATACCCTTCACTTGACATGCAAGTGTATCTAGATTTAGTGGGACCCAATTGGGACCTGTATTTGATAACCATCTTGGCAGGGTTGTTAGCTGGTATTGCATACCTTCGTTTTTTCCATCGGTGATTTCTGCCTTACCCGAATCAGATGATACTGGCAGAGATGTTGGTGCTTTCGGCAAGCCTAGTGTTAGACCTTCACCTTTTATCGCAGTCATTCAAACATCGTGGTTGCATTTCGAGCCCATTCGCCACACGACTGCCATCTTCATCGGGGCAAGCCAACGTCGGACGTGGTTTACATGGTCTATATAGTAATGGTGTCCTAGTCGTCGGTGGCTCTTGTTTAATGAGCAATGGTTTCTACTGCAATTATTGCACATGCAATGACAGCTGTAGTGTGTGTGCCCCTCTGGTGGCCAGAACATGCAACCTCTGGTGCAGCACAAGACGTGTGTAGTGGAGCGTGCAAGCGTGAGTTCTCTCGTTGTTGTAGAGAGGCCGATTTTTGTACATAATTTTGAAAACAGCTTTCTATAGATGTTTGTCAATTTGTGGCGTATTCCTATGCTTGCAATATTGCGAGTGGATTAGTGCACTGGGAATACCTCACAGCAAGTGTATTTAAAACTCGTTAACAATAACTCATGGTATAGTGTCTCTATCTATATAATGGATTATGCACAGGATGGACCAGTAATCGGAATAAAAGTGGCCACAGCTGTTGTTTTCCCTGGTGTGCTATTACAAAAGTATATGGTGATACTTGTCGCTGTTGAAGTTAAATATGCGATAGTTTTATTTGCACCAGTATTTTTTAGGACAGCTGATAAATACTGCATAGGTATTAGGCTTGCAGTGCACATATTACTGTGCCCTACCAGTAAACAAGCATGAATTTTCCAATCTTTCTCAGCAAATTTCATTTATTTATTTTATATTTACACCGATTTAGTCTACCATTAGTAACCGCACGTGGTATCTCTATGTAAATTGAACTTTTGAAGTTTATAAACGAAACAGTGTCAGTTTAAAGCCGAGTTTTTCCAGCAATACCCACGATTACTGTCAGGGTTCATTATGGGGCTTTTTTGATGGATTTGGATTTTTTGTCTAGGTTTATCAATTTATATAACCCAACGGCTTTAAAAATACGTAGAACTGTAGAATCCAGGTTTGTATAGAAAAAAGGTGAATATAAGAAATATGTGTTCGCACGTATTGTGTACGTGGTTCCATGTACTGATTGTCCTACTACTAGGAACAAACTGAGAAAAATTAAACGATGATGAATAAGAAAATAATTTTTGTCATTTTTTGTAAACTTTTTGTCACTAGTATGCCACGTTACTAATAAATTCTGGTTAGTCACGTATATTTATCATCATCACTACAATGTTTAGGACTTCTAGTGTGCGTGCGTGCGTGTAGAAGAATGGTCAAGTATGCCCAGTCACACGTTTCTGTTGTCAAGTGATTTCCGTGGGTTTAGAAAACATGGCAGTAATGGTATTGCCATTGACTATTATTGTGAAATGTTAATTATGAATGTAATAAATATTTGTACAACATTTTGGAATACAATCATAATAATGAATATTTTTTTAATAAATACAATTTATTTAAATAGTCATCTCTAAATAGGTAAATAGTACCTCACAATGCGAGCACCTAAGAAAGGTTTTCTTTTACATGTAAAGCAAAAAGCAGAGCACTGCTCTACTAATAGTGTCCGTGATAATGTCAGTGAAAAGTAGAAACCGCATTGCTTCTATTTTAAAAACTGCAAAAATAAAAATAATCATTACCAGAAATACAAATATATAGCTGGTATTTGGAGAAGGGCATTACTCATTTTGTTAAATTCCTGACACATGGAGAAAAAATAGGAGGGCAGCCGATAAAGGAAAGTGGTCATGTCACTAGACCAAGATCTGACACATGGATAACTTTTTTTTTCTGACGTAAACAAAAAATAATAAAATTTGCATTTACGTAACATAATAGGTAGGTAATATGATCTTACAACTTACAGATAACAAATTCAAGCTGTGAGCAAATTTACAGTTGCCGATTATTTTGATTAGCATTACGAGTGCTATATACATTTTTCAAACATGATGATTGTAGTGTCATTATTATACGAAATTTTCTCACCACTTCACTGAGTTCATAATAGCAATACTTCAAGGCCACCTTTGTGCATGCTGCTGGCATATTATCACATATGACAAATCTCTGCTGCAATAATGCTGTTGCTTCTTATCTCAACAACAACTTGAATCACAAGAAAGGTAATTCACGAGCAGGTGCGCTCTGTGCTCGTTCATGTTCCATGTGTGATGAGCTGTAGCTGTTCAGTCTGCTCGCCTACTCTATGCCTAACAGATCTGCTGTAGAGTAGCCCACGCAAGCTTTTGGGCAGTTCACCCCACTCCGTCTCTAGAATATCTTTGTGGTCAATGGCCAGCTTTATGCATATTCGCACCAGTGAAGGAGGCGTGAAGCAAAACGTGAGAATTTCTTTCGAGTGATCCTGCATAGTAATAAATGCATAATATTAATCTAATCATATTTAATTTAAATTATCGCATCAGGAAATTTGTGCGGATACAGAAAGATGGAAGCCAAGATTAGATCTTGCAGTAGCTTTACTAATAGTGACGCATTTAGCATGAGGCTGTCTCAGCACTGAAAATTAGACAGAGTGCACTCACGGAGAGTGCATACCTCCGTCAACGACATACGACTCACAAACACACGAATAACCCACGATATACGCCAGCGTACTGACATGTACACGCTGGCTTGCTGGCTTGCTGCTCGCTCGCTCGTTGCTGCTGCTCGCTCACATGTACACGCTCGCTGGCTTGCTGGCTGGCTGGCTCACTGACTCGACGCGCTAATATCAATCGCGCGAACACACGAACACACTAACACACTAACACACTAACACATGAGAGTGAAAACATAACCTCCTCCAACTCCGTTGGGCGGAGGTAATAACACGGTAATTCATCAGTTTCACCTTGGCAACAAATCTCTGTGATATTTGCATAGATCTTTACTATTCTGCTGAGAACCTACACTGTTATCGTCGTGATCAAGGATATCCTTCTGGCAACCTCCAAATACCATCACTTCACCGTAGTTGTTCAGACATGCAGTGTGCCACAGACGTGGCTTGTTCCCTGGAACATCCAATTGCGTCCACTGCAGTAGTTCCGTGTCAAGTATCCATCCATCACCTGTGACATGTGAGCAACGCACAGTAATGCAGAGCTAGAACGTCATGTAATGTGTTTTTCCTATACTCTACTTTTTGCGATCTAGTAAAATAATAATGCAATATATCCTCTCACTTTTGAAACATTCAGAGATTAAAGCTAAACATTGGTGAGATAAATACAATAAAATTGAGACATCTAATTATTATAAAAAAGAACCATGTCCTTCTTCACTGTGTATCATTACTAATATGCTGACACCAACCCATATAGAAATCGAGAAAACTAGCTGAATGCAGATACAAACAGCTAGGATACAAATAGGACTGCTCAGAGCGCAGACCAGTCATCACTGCAAGTTATGCAGAAATATATGCAGTCAACATTACAAATAGTCTTACTAAGGGGTTTCCTGTACTGGGTATAGCCTCCATAGAGAAATATCTGTCGCTGTGAGATTGCTGTGAAGCTATGCCATGTTCGTCCACATGGCCAGAGGCCTGGTGCACATATGCTGTGTACAGAAAATTAACTGAACTATTAACTCATACAGATATAATGCTAAATGTGTGTGACGGCATGAACATGTGTGGGTTCATGCCAGCAGCACGTAATAATTTCCTGAAAATATAGCAATTGCAAAGGACTATTATTTCAAATATTTATCTCCAGTATCAGTTACCTGCCACTCCACGTTTTCTTTTTAAGATCTAAACAATGAAGTTCAGCTGTTCTGACTAACCCATGGCGTCCACCAAACATCCAAACCTTGTCCCCTATTTTAGTTGCTGCATGTGCAGCCCGTGGTGATGGTGGTTCACCCTATACACGAATACAAAATGCATGCGAGTGCTCTGTTCGATAAAATTACACATAATATATAGCTAATATTAGTCGTAGACTGAATAATTATAATATTAAATTGAATATTGAATATGATGTACTTGACATTAATTATATTTGCAATTGATTTTAAACAATTGATTTTCAATCATGAAATTGATCTCACACACTACAAGATACGAAGAAGATAGGATAGAATAGATTTTAAAAATTAAATTGCTTTTTAAGAACAAGCTCCTATAGTATTAGAAGATGGTTTTAATCACTAGTGTCAGTTAGAGGAAAGTTGTTTACATATATCATGAACACGTGCTTAAAACATATATTACTACTACATTAGATTATTAGATATCTTTATATTAATATAATAACATTCTTAGACATATGTTCATGAATATATAACATATAAATATATACCTTGTACTGAGGATTACTCCAAACTAATGTTTCAGGGTCAAATATAATAATCTGATTATTCCATCCCCTCTCTTGGTAACTCTGCAGAAATAATGGAGGAATTTACAGCTTTCTATACTCTAGCTCAACTTGCACCAACTAAAGTTAAAAACTAGACATTCTTATACAAAATAGAAGTATTCAGATACTTAACATAAATCATTAAAAAACAAAACGTGTAAACCATTCTGAAAACCAATGCTTACAAACATAGTTCCTGGATTAAGAAGGAAACTGCCATTATCATGCAATACTTCAACCTCAGGATCTTCATCGAATGGAACACCGAAGCCACCAAAAAAATGCAATCTGAAAGCATTAAAATAAAACGTATGGTCGCAAACATTCACCTTTGCAATAGCTTTAAGAAAATGTGTGTGTTAAATTTGAATTCATTATGCAACACCAAGCTCTTAACACTGTATCATCAGATTTTGTGGCAGCTCGTCACTAGATGCAAGAACGATTTTCACACTTCTATCATACAGATAATTGTGAAGTGCGAAAAATGAGTGTCAAATCGACTTGGTGTCATTACTAGTTGGCAGTGCATGTAACTGTACGTAGGTGCATAGATAAGAATGTTCCAGCCTTTTGGGGATATCGCAAACAGTGGACGACACTGTCCCCACTAACATCCCTGCAGTCTTCGTTTACCACAATTTAAAATAAGAATATGCAAACACAAATCATGGCCACTGCCTATTCTTACTTTCCCTCGTGAGACCAACCGACAAACTTGTCCCTCGGAGCGGGCCGTTTTCCTTTGCATGGCACTCTTTCCCAGGAGAGCGAGCTCAGGTCCAGCCTATGAAGCTCCCCATAGTGGCCCTCTAAAGAGTGCCCGCCGTAAATATACAGGTAATGGTCCACGAGCACGGCACACGCTCCAGACAGGCCGGGTGGAAAGTGAGGAGTACGTCCATCTATGGGCAGCATTCGCCTACAGAATTCACAGACGTGTAATTATTATGACAAGGTGGCTATCAAAAAGAGATTGAACATGAGTTGTCCACTTCGGCAGTAATCATCGGACCGTCTTGCATGCATCACATATACATAGTATTCCCGTGATCACATATATTAACTAGAAAGGGCAGTTGTCGCCAACTACATGTATCCCCCGTGTTCTCCCTAAGATGTGTAAGTATACGAAGTTTGGTAGCGCTAGGTCAATTAGGGGTCGAGTTATAAGCGGAAGGGAAATTGTCTGCGGCGGCGGCGGCTGGGGAGACATGAAACCATAGTATCCCCGCCGACTTCGTCGCGGGGGATACAAATATCAACTATTCTTAAGTGCTGTATTATGGTATAGTCCTCAGTTTTCACTGCATTCACATTTTTTTACATTGCTAGGTGTACATTAATTACATAGCTATTCCACTTACCACCACCACTTACCATATCTCAAACTCAGTATCATAAATCCACAGTTCATTCGTTGATACGTAAACGTTCTCAAGTGGTCCATCATCGTGTGTTACTTCCTAAAAGAAATGATGTAGCATTTTACTATGAAATCTAAACATGCACTATTCCAGGCTATGGCTGTTTATGCATTTGGCTTTTGCAACTTCTCATATACACTTATATGTGACAGACCACAACTTGTACGTATAATTACCGTTAGAATGGTGGGGTGAGGATTAAATTAGGGTCAAGGGAGGAATGTCAAGTACCTAAAGCTAAGATGGTGCCCAGGTCAAGAATTTGATGTCCCATCATCAGGAGTCTATCAATAGACTATTGATAGTCTATTAATAGACTATTGATAAGACTCCTGCCATCATCTCTAGAACTGGTTGTTACCAACAGCTGTGCCTATGATGACACATAACACATCAAGAATGGTGCGTGGTGACCATTTTAATCATGTGGCATACCATCTGCTGCTATTTTTGCCTTTTTGACAGTTATCTTACACTTATTCTGTCTACCCAGTTTGTTGGGCTTAGGTCAGTGTAGTTAATTGGTTAGGGTTGTGGTTCAGTTATGGCGAGAATGTATTTGTTTTTATCACGGTGAGAGGTTACATGTGATTTGCTGGTGGGCCAGTACCCACTTTCCCTAGCTCTAGTACTATAGCCCGCGTACAGTTGCCGCAGGGCTATAGAACATTCATACATGTGATTTGCTGGTGGGCCAGTACCCACTTTCCCTAGCTCTAGTACTATAGCCCGCGTACAGTTGCCGCAGGGCTATAGAACATTCAATTACGAATGCTAGGGATCAACCCGCTGACTGGCGCTGAATGGCCGTTTGACGTTCGTAAATAATGTTTGTTCTCAAGAAATACCGCAAGCAGACCATTTCAACGTTAGTTAGAGGTTAAACTTTAGTAGCTGATATAACTTAAGACATATTCACTTCGGATAAGAGGCATTAATTGCCTACCACAGACGTTTTATAGCCGTGAGTAACCGTGAATAAGTTGGTCGCTAGCATTCGTAATAGAATGTTCTATAGCCCTGCGGCAACTGTACGCGGTCTATAGTACTAGAGCTACCACTTTCCCCTACTCTCACCACTGGCACTGCACTGGCACTGAGCACAGAGCAGGTAACACCCCCTGTACTGTAACAATAACATGAGTCTAAACAGAGGAATTGCTCCGACATGCGATTGGAGGATAAAAATAGAATTCGTGACGTTTCATTTTCATTTTGGCATTTAGCCTACGAGCGATACTCCGCGCACACATTTGTTAATTAAGCTAATCGCGCTTCAATAAACTCAAGACTCACAAGGATCATATAGCTAAGACATGTGTATATAATGGCTAGAATTTATAGAAATGTAACTCAAATCATTCGCGCCAATTAGTTAGTTAGTTAGTTAGTTAAGGATAATAGGTTGTAATAGGCCTAGCCTAATGTGCACCCATATCTTGCGATTTCCTGAATCGGTCGATTCTGGCCTTAAATTCGTTAGTCGTGATAGCTGCGACTGCACTTTGTGGCAATTAGTCTCTCTTATTCATGCTGTTTGTGCACAGAGCGCGCGTGCGGTGTACTTGTGTGTTGCAGATGAGCATTTGACCGGCATTTACGGGTAATTATTGGCAATAATAGGCGAAATAGAGTAGAGAAACATTAAGACTTTGGTAGTAAATACATTTCGTGTTTATTTACCATTATTTTTTTTATTGAGACGTTCCAAGTGCATGTGGCTGTGCCGTGGCTGTGCCACAGGCTGTGGCTGTCGTACCCAAACTTGGAATTTGCACAAACTGTGACATCTTGAGATCGTGCAGTGATAGTGCTGCCCAAACTGCGGATTTCCTAGTTTGGCTGCCCAATCTCAAGATTGAGCACGCTGAAAACAGTCGATAATTCAACTACACTTCTAAAATGGCGATTGTGGCATATGCGAGTATAACTGAGGCAAACTAGGAAGGAATTTCTCTAATGGTTATCAAATTATCTAATCATTTATTATTTTAACAAAGACACATTTGCCAAACACATCGAAGAGTGCATGAACGCCTATGAATTCCAAGTTTGTGCAAGCCCTGCTCACCTTGCCCAAACTAGGGATTCTCCTATTATTGTCAATATTGAGCAAATTATCTCAACTATCCATATATAATTTGTTAACCAATAATGCCAATATCATGAATATGGCAATATGCAAACACAATCAAGAAATAAGATATGGGAACTCAGTCATTGTAATGATATAACATTTCGTAGCCTATGATTCCAAGTTTGTGCAACCCCTGCTCACCTTGCCCAAACCCTGCTCACCTTGCCCAAACTAGGTTTTGCAATTATTGTCAATATTGAGCAAATTATTTCAACTATCCATATATAATTTGTTAACCAATATCATGAATATGGCAATATGCAAAAACAATCAAGAAATGAGATATGGGAACTCAGTCATTGTAATGATATAACATTTCGTAGCCTATGATTCCAAGTTTGTGCAACCCCTGCTCACCTTGC